TATTTTTCAAAAATAGGTTTCACATATTCTCAATTTTTCCAGAAGTTTGTCAAAAAATATAAATATTACTCAAGAATAAATTATCTTTAAATTTGTTGTTCATAACTAAACAATACCTTCAAAAATGCAGTTATACCCATCTACGTTGAAAAATATTATTCACTTTTCAAATGTCTAGGTAGAATAACAAGGAAAATATTACAAATATTTGACATTAAGTGTGTAGGGAAGAGCAAATTGAAATTATCTTGATTGTGCGACAGAATTATAGAACTCATAGCGAAGACGCCATTTTTTTTACCAATAGACATTCCAATAAAAATGTTACTGTTACGAAAACAGTGACTAAATTCAAGAATACTGGAAGAATTAAGAATGGGTTTGTTGTAAAACGCCGACAATTTTTTGCCGTTGGTAATACGCAGTTGGAAAAAATGATGTCTGTTGTAGCCATTAAAAAGATGTCATTAAGCAAATATGTAAGTACTGAAACAGTAGCAATAATTTAAAATTTAAAAATAGTTCACACATTTAAAAAAAAACATCATAATCTCTTTGATGTTTGCTATCTTTTCTAAGGAGAGAGAGACCTACTTTTTGTGCCGAAAGTTATTTACAAATTTTACAAACTCCAATTTATATCTTCATAGATGAACTAATAATAAAAAAACTACAATGTATTTGGTTAGGCACAACATTGAAATATATTTTGAAGATAATATGTTCCATAGAAGCGTAATCGACAGATATTTTGATTTTTTTGGCCTACTACTTCTTAAGAAGGAAATAAAATAATTAGGAATGTATTACGTGAATTTGTCAATAGAACGAATGACGGTGACGGCGAATATGTCTAGGAATTAGTAGAATTTGAATTTTTGTACAAACCTCGTTTACTACTTAAAAAAAAATTGATAACTTTATTTTACTACTTTAAATTCGATTTTTTTTAAGGGAACTAAAATATTTCGAAATGTGAAATATAACATGGCTTTCCAAAATCAAAGTAGTTTTACGAACTTAAAGGATATGATGCTGTGCATTACTGTCAGGCAAAAAAAGGAGAAGGGGCATCTAATTATATAAAAAATTATCGTATCGCCCAGCATCTTTCAATTTTAGGCTGTCTAAAGAACACATGGAAAACATAATTGTTAAATTTCGTGGAGATTTTAATATAAATTTACTGGATAATTACTGAAACTCAACAATATGATGAAAAAAAAAAGAAAATACCACCAGGATAACCCCAAACACTAAAACATTAGTCGACCGTGGACCAATGCAATAGCAATAAATGTTGAGTAACCGTCAGATACAACAAACAGATCACGCGCGGTTACAGCTGTCATTGAAAGTGAAATTCAAAATCTAGGAACCAAAAATATGAGATGAAACAAATAAACAAAGTAAGTTGGCAGACAATTTTTAAAGAGCACACACCAAAATATGTCTATAATGCAGTCGGGACTGAATTTTACTATCGTACTTTGCCATGTGCTTTAAAAAATGATAACTGATTTGGAAGAAAAATGCAAAACTTCGAATTAAAATTTCGTTTTGTGCAAAAAATCCTCGATGATGTTTTAAACGGGCGACAAGTTACCTCTTCAACGCGATGACAGGAGACAGGATATATCATGATAGGATAGCTGCGCGAGTTCAATTTAAAGAAGAAAGAGAGAGGACAGTATCGTGATATTTTTTTTAGATAACGCAACATCGCATTCTAAGGTTGGTATTATTCAAAATTTTAAGATTCTATACAGAAATTATAGACTTATAATATATGTAGAAAACGGCATTGCACTGGCCCAAAGTCAAAAAAATATTACTATAACCAAGGAATGTTTTAATATGGATTTCATCGGCATGAATTCGTCATCTATAACAATAAGGTTGAAGATATTATCCTCCTTGCCCAACTGTTACCTACCTTAAAAATGGAACTGAAAAAGTTTAAACTAATTCAAAGCAATGTATCCACAGAGATTGAAGAACTGGCCATCATTGCTTGTATTAAACAGGTACGACAAGTTCATTTCCATTCTGAAAACGAGGCTAAAACCTGCAAGTTTAAGAGACTTAGAAACCTTTTTTTCTTAAAACAGATATATCTAAACTGTAATTAAATTGTAAATGTATTCTGTATTTTAAAAAGTAACAACTGTATTATACTCGTATACTCACATAAAATGTAAATTGATAAGACATGTTGATCTATTACAATACAATACAAAACATATTTAATATTATGTAGCTAAAAAGTTTTTATTTGTTATTTATTATGGATACCTTATTATAAATAAAACGATCCACTATACGATCTGGAAACCCAAGTTTCATGGATTCTCCTGAAGATTTAAAATATTATAATATAATATTATATTGATACAGGATGTCCCAAAAGTGGCCCCACCCAAACATCAACTTTGTTATTTTAAATGTAACACTTTGTATATTTCGACATTTTTGGAATCCTTGGTTAAAATAAAGGTAACTTTTTTAATAAATTTCTCCAAAAAGGTAGGCAGGATTTCAAATAGTGGTTGTTCGGTTTGTGAAACTGGCAACACTGTGTACGCACTCGCGTTAGGCAGACAAAAGTATGCAATTTTCAGTTATCGACATGGCTTGGAGCGGAGTGCATCGAGCTTTCGTTGTCGACGAGTTTATTAGAAATGGGGCATCTGTAATGGCGCGCGCCTTTCGTAATTAGTTTGATGTTGGTCGGCATGGCGCGGTTCCTGATGGAAGAACAATTCGTCAGTGGGTTTTACACTTCAGGGAAACAGGTTCTGCGCTTAACCGAAAATCTACTGGCCGACCAAGGACAGTAAGAAGACCGGAAAATGTGAATGCTGTAAGAGTTTCCGTACAACAGTCGCCAAGGCGTTCAGCTCGTAAGCATGCAGCGGCTTTGGGAATTCCCGATAGAAGGTGTTCGAAGAATTTTACATGACTCACTCCAAATGCATCGGTACAAAATGATGGTAGTGCAGGAATTACGCGCAAGAGATTTTGAAACTTGTAAAAATACCGTAAATAAGCAAAATTTCCTTTATTGGTACTGAAATAGTACACAGGAACTTCATGAGCGACCTCTTCACAGTCCAAAAGTCACCGTCTGGTGTGCAATCTCGGAGTTCGGCGTGTGGAGTCCTTACTTTTTCGAAGAAGATGGAATAACGGTACCAGTCACCGGAGATCGATATTTTGATATGCTTAACAATTTCCTGGGTCCAAAAGTGAACGAGTTGAACAACGATCAAAGAGAACATCTTTGGTTCCAGCAGGATGGTGCTACATCGCCCACAACGCGTCGTTCACTAAACCTTCTTCAAGAAATGTTCCTAAATAAAGTGATGTCTTTACGGGGTAATCTTGGATGGCCGCCACGTTCGTGTGATTTGTCGCCTTGCGACTTTTTTCTTTGGGGTTACCTGAAAGCTAGAGTTTTCACACATCGTCCGCGGACTTTGGAAGAATTAAAGGCAGCCATAAGACAAGAGATTCCCTCAATTCCCCAAGAAATGATCCATCGGGTAATGATGCGCTTCCGCGAGAACCTACAAGAGTGCATCGACAATAATGGCCGTCATTTAAAAAATAATATATATGTTTTAAAAATAGCGTTCCTAAATGCCAGAAAATGTACATTTCAAAAATAATCTTAAAAAAATGTTTGCTTTATGTAGTTTGATTTTTATTAACATCCCAAATAGTACCTATCATTTTGCCGCACCCTGTATATAGAGTATGGAGTGTTATATCTTTAAAAGAAGTAATATCATGTCTTTGCTATTTAAAAAATATCTAATATTGCTAACAAGTGACCCAATGTCGGCAGCTTTAAATTCTGTATGTTATCTTAAACCTCGAATATCTCTTAAAGTAAGTAAAACTAAAATATAAGATAAATTACAAACTTATCTTAGTTTTTGTCCTAGAATTGATATCTAAATAACCACCACCACCTATTTTTGACACCCTGTATAAGCTGAGGCGCATCTGTCAAACGGATTGAGTAATGTATCATCTCCTTACTCTGTGGTTAAATTATCGTTGCAATACCTGTATCAGTAACGTCACAACACAATTTTATATGGGGCAATCAAACTAAAAAACACAAAACCTCAACTTCTACCTAAATTATGCAAAATTCGAAGAGGAATTTCTTAAGAGAAGTGACCTTTATTTTAAGCAAGGATCCCAAAACTGCCGAAATATACATGGTGTTCCATTTAAAATCACAAAGTTGAGGTCGGGGCGGACACTCCTGTAACACCCTGTATCAACAAAATTATAATATTTTAAATTTTCAGGAGAATCCAGGAAACTTTTGTACGAAACTTTTTTTCGTATCTCCTATGGGTTTCCGGATCGCATAGTTAATACATATAGGGAGCACTTAGTTAAATTTATTTTTAGTAAGTTGTAATAAAAATGTGAATAAATAAATAATGTAAAATAGCAGCATTTCTTTAATTTCTATGTTTTCCTTTTGAGAGACGAGCAACAACTTATTGATTGCTATTATTCAGGAATTCTACTATATGCTCAGATCCCATTCAATTTTTAGGAAAAAAAAAGTTAGCTTTCGCAGTGGAAATGGCTGTTTATTTAAAGACATTTTATTTATCATTTTTCATTTCGCAGCACGAACCAAGTCCAGGAATTTTCCGTTCGAGATTTAATTGCATATAAAGCATTAAAGGCAGCTATCTCATACCAAAGAATAGCAGAATATTTCTTGACTAATTTTAGAAAACGTACCTGAATGACGCCATTCAGTTTGAAGTGATAACTAATTTTACAAGCATAATAGGAATCGGTCTCGCACATGTCCTAACAATACTTTCAATGACTCTCTAAAGTACGTCATCGTTAAACGATACATATCGACAAATGGTGCTATTCAAAAAATTAGTCGCATGCACCGCATATTAATTAACACGCCTCGAAATTATATTTACGACAACAACGCATTATCCGCCTCAGTCTGTTTACGTTTTTTTAATTGAAAACTATTAATATAAAATGTAGTTGGAGTTATTTTGGTTTTTCTATGGATGGCGAGCTGAAACTGCACATTACAGAATTAAATTTTGCTGTGAAACTTAGGCGTGATTTACCACTATTAAGCAAACAGGTAATTTATATGTCTCGTAATTTAAATATAACGCGATTTTATATATAACGCACAATTAAAAATTTGTATGACTTTTTCAGATTGGAATAGAATAGAATAGAAGCGGCTTTAAAGTAAATGTAAAATGTACAAATTTATTATAATTCTAGTAAGAAATAGTATATTATGTAAGAAGTGTGGTAAACAGCATTTGCGTCACGAGTTTATTTGGCACAAGAGGAGCGAGTGTTTAATAGGCAACCCTATTAAAGCTTACTATCATATTAAAACTTACATTACTGCCATCATTATAAAAAAAAAGGTATTTTGTGGCATTTGTCTTGAAACACCCTGTATAAATTGGCCAAAAACTTGAATTACCCCATTGGGTGCTAATTCTCGCTTATAGAGTATCATCTAGGTCGACTCGGTCCATTTTGTTTTTGATTTTGTAGCTATGCTAAGAACGTTTGTTCATTTAGATACTGATTAAAAAATGAAATAAGGTCACTAATAAATACCACACCCCATCTTAGCACTTTTCCGTACTTGCTTCTGCTATATTCCTCCACAGATCATTGCGATTTTCCTTATAATAAACACAAAATTATAGGTATTTTTATTGTCCTTAGCATAGAGTAATTATAATGTGTGCTTCATTTAAAAAAATCGACTTCTTGCCTTGTTGTTATTGCAAGACTATATTTGCATTGATGCTTCGTAAGTGTCAATTAGCAGCCAAGTTTTTCGCCAATTTATATAGCTCGTCGAATGCCAAATGCGTCACATAAACTCAAATATCTTAAAAACTACGCAAAATTAAACTTGTTTCTCTATCTTTACTATTTTTCCAGATGATACAGTGGGTAATTTTCGGTGGAACATGGTGTATCTAGCTTAACAGAACCTGTAAGAAATATCAAAAAAACTTCAATTCCAAAGATGTTTAGATTCACTTATACTTTTGTCGCAAGATTCTCGGCGGATTTATAAATATAACTAACGACTTCTTAGACTTTGTTAAGATTAATTTGTTGAAATAGAAACATGATATTTTTTAAACTTTATCGTATTTAGCATTAAAAAAAAGCCGTTGTCAAAATGCTAAATGGCTATTAATTGGCCAAGAAGATGACGGTGAAATATAGCAAAAAAAAACAATCTAGCACTATAGAAATTTCACTTACTGTTTACTGTCGTTTAACCATTTATTGTCAAAAAATTATTATTAAAAATTAAAGTAATTAAATTATTAATATAAACGCTATCTCAATTATTTCAAATTTCAAAGAAAAGCATTATGGCATTTGTGGAAAAATTTGGATGAACAATGATCTACACGAAACAGTAGTGTAAAGCAAATAATAGAAAATTTTAGGTTTAGGTAGAAACTAACCATTTTATAAAAAATACAATTTTTATATATTTTTATATGAGTTTTGCAAATATTTATTCTATCTTTTGGATTTGTTTTGTTAACGGTTTTTTTATTTGACGTCATCGCCACAACTATTTATTACATAGCTAACTAACCAAAACATAAAAGCCGTATTACACGTGTCTAATGGACTATCGTTTTTTTATGTTTTATGTTCACTTTGAACTTTCAACTTCTTTTAAATTTTTAATATTAGTTTTTAACCACTCGGTAATTGGTAAAATATAATTTAATGTAATAAAATATGTATATTTAATATGTAGTATATGTAATATTTTAAATACTAACACAAACCACTAAAGTAGATGGTTCTCTAAAGGTAGATAAGGATTGATTCTAGCCTAAACGTCATGTTAAACACGTTTTTAGACAATAGAAGTTTGAAACGCCAGTATTGACTAAAGTAGATCCCCTTCCTATAGGGAAATGAATTCCTAATATATAACAAAGGCTTTCAATCGGAGAATAGGACATTATGTATGAAATATGTCTAAAATTTCCAGAGAAATTCGGAAATGACTTAGTGTATAAGGTGTTTTATTTAAAATAATAATTGGCGTACGCAAGTCCTACAAAAAAATACTGTATATTAAGATAATATAATATTTTAAAAGAGCAAGTCGAGACAAGCGAATCAAACCAACTTTTGTCTTTTTTACATATTTTTTACAGATTCTGAGATAAGATGCTCTCCAATAATAAACGAGTCATCCGGTATCTATTTACAACAATTGTTGACAACCAGACCGTTATTTCATTTTTATTACGTTTTCTCAATACCATTTCTGTATTCCATCCGTTTTTTTGTAACGTTTTTTTCTTAATAACCCCATTCTTGGAACACTGGTGGGCTAGGAATGCCTTGACCATCGACTTGTCAATAACACCCTTTAATACAGTCGACGTTTACATTTTTTCAGGTAAAGTTCCGCGATGCTGCCTTTAGTGTACGGAATATTGGTGCTAGTAATAGTAGCAGTGTCATATATCAAATGGAAGCAGACGTATTGGCGAAGACTAGGAATCACCCAAATAGACCCGCCGTTTTTCTTCGGCAACTTTAAGGAATCCATCAAACAACGGAAATCTTTTTTCAACATCTACATCGAGCTCTACAACGAGCTGAAGAGGAAAGGCGCGAAACATGCTGGGCTGTATTTTTTCTTTCGTCCCACTTGGACAGTCTTGGATCCTGAACTGATCAAAAACATTCTGGTAAAAGATTTCGATTACTTCATGAGTCACGGAACCTACGTTAACGAGGTACTCGAACCGCTAACGGGAAATCTCTTCAATCTCGAAGGACCGAAATGGAGAAGTTTACGATCAAAATTAAGTCCAACATTTACTTCGAGTCAGATGAAAATGATGTTCCAAACGATAGCTTCGTGTGCGCCCGAGCTGAGGGAAATAATGAACGATCACGCCGAGAACGACAAAATTGTCAACATAAAGGAAGTTCTCTCGCGATTCACAATGGACGTAATTGGAAACTGTGCTTTCGGAATCGACTGCAACACCATGAACAATCCGAACAACGACTTCAGCTTGTACGGAAACCGGATCTTCGAACGCAATTCGTCAGTAATCATTCGCAGGGCATTTTCGCAAATTCTTCCCAAGTCAATGATAAATGCGCTCGGAATTAGGATTGGCAATCAAGATGTGGCGAAATTTTTCATGGACATGGTGAAGGAAAACGCTGCGCACAGGGAGAAAAACAACGTGTTCCGCAAAGATTTTTTCCACTTGCTGCTTCAGTTGAAGAACAAAGGGCGTATAACGGACGAAGAGACGGTGATCAATGGTACAAGGAACGAGTCCGCTTTGAATATCAATGAAGTGGCTGCTCAATGTTTCGTGTTTTTTGGGGCGGGCTTTGAAACCTCCTCCACCACGATGGCGTTCGCCCTATATGAAATTGCCAATTCCGAGGAAATTCAGGAAAAAGCCAGGATGGAAATTATAGACGTGATCAAAAAGAACGACAACCAGATAACTTACGAAGGAATAATGCAAATGTCTTATTTGGAAAAAATCGTTTTTGGTAAGTACTCTTCTTTCAGCGGTACTTACGCGTAATTTCAGGTTAGGGTCAGAACCCCAGACTCTAGATAAACTAATTGCTAATTGTTAGAGAGTTTTCTATATTTGCAGTAAGAAATTACCGCACTGTACCCGACAACAGGCGATTAATGCGCCTTTTGCTCTTGAAATCAGAAATGCTTCTAGTTGAACTGTGTAACTAAAAAGTAGAAATTATAATTAATATTACCCAATAGACTGCTCGGAGTAGGCCAATTATAAAAAAGCAGAATATTTACAAAATTCGATAGAAGTACGCAAAAAGATTTCTATGATAATAAACTTGTTTGTTTGACTTTGGAAATAATCTAATCAGATATCAAATGTATGCATTTTAAGAATTACTATGGATTTCCAAAGTATTGCTTTCCTGCTTTAGTTTATTGCAGAATCACCAAAAAAAAAGGCCCACTGTTAAAAATAGATGCCCTTAAAAATATTTTCAAATGAAAGGAAATCTTGAATAACTAGAATTTCAAACTAACCTTAAAAACTTCTAACGAACTGCTACGGCTAGAAACTTTAGTCTACTCCGAAGGATTTAAGGGTTAAAAAGAATGTATTTCCCACGCTAAATTATCTATTGCTATCGTATAACCAAAGAAAATATCAAAACAGTATCGTCAGGATTCAGTAAATGCAAGCGATACTAGTACAAATTCTCATTATAAGAACCGAAAATAAAGAGCATTAATAAATTTTATTTGTACACTTTCAATGCACGTTATTGTGGTACATCGGACGTATTGACTATTGGCGAAAACTCCAGAACAGTTCTTACCATACTACACTATAATGTAATTTAAGAAGCTGTGTTCTTAAAGCCGTCAGTAGTTCTCACAATAAATCCTAAATTAGGCAGTGCTTTCACAATAATAGCATATGTATGGGACAACAATTTACACTCCAAAATGACCAATAAATCTTTAACCACGACAGCACTATTTTATTGTTTAATGTTCAGAAAAAATTTAAATTGATGTTATTAATTATATTAATATAATAATATTTATTTTTACAAATCAGTCCTTACAATTGGTAAACAATAAACATATAAGTTATATTTTTATGCAATATACATAAAGGCTTTTTTTATCGATTTTCATATACTTTACATAACTTGATCCGTGGGTCCTCTTTTATATATGTGGTTTCCAACTGTTTTAAGCGGGGTTTAGAATGTAAAATAAAATCAAATGTGGACCACTTCTATTTTTTTTACTTCTAGCTCCAGCTCTAACTCAGTTTATGGAAATTTCTAAATTTCATTGCGAATATTTAAAGGATTTAAATAAGTATGAAAATTGATAAATGAAAAGGCTGAGGAGGCAACAAAGCAAACAAACAGAAATGTTTCCAGCTTTATACAGAATATTTCAAAAATTGTACGCTGATGTTCAGCGGGAGATTATGATATTATTTAGTTTTCAATATTTAAAAAAAAGGACTTGTACGAAAATCCTTATGTCGTAGGCTACACGTATTGAAACTGATGGCGGTCATTTTCTTTAGTTTAGTTAGTTTATTGTGATCAAAGGGCCGTTTTTTGTTTTAATATTCAATAGCCCTTATCTTAAAAACTAAGCAGTTTCGGACCTACATTTATATAAACGTTTTTTTATTTTCTTAAACACCCTGTATAGCTTTTTTCTATAAAATATGTTCATGAAATACTCTTAATAACATATCAGTCCGTCCTCTCAGAAACATGATTTAAACGTATTGTTTAATAGAAGATCTAATGCTAATGTGTGTTTTGGTATATTTTCTTTTTTTCTTACTCAGCTAATCATTTTAGCCTTTATTAACAAAGTAAAATTTTTGCGCAGATAAATATATCGTAAAAATATTAATTTTTTCTGGAAAATTAAATATGTAATCACGATTGTTAAATGTCTTATTTAAATTAGATTTTTTTTGAGTTCCTATTCAAGTACGTCTAGTTGCGAACATATTATCCATGACACTTATTTAATATGTATATATGATGAACAAATACCTACGAAAAGAAAAATTCAAAATCAAAGTGACGTTATGTCCGAAAGACTTAAAGCAGGTCTTCTAAAAAATGCCAAAAAAGCGACCGCCAGTTATTAAACTCATTAGAAAACCCATAAAAGGGTTTTTAAGGTGACTTTATATAATGATAAAATGATAATAAACTGTTTCTTGTTTAATATTACGCAGCAAATATTTAAATCCAACCTTGCACGTGTGAACAACACATTTTCATGAGTTGTCAGCTCTATTTACTTATGATGAGTTATTTTTCGATTTTAGTTCTGTTGTGTAGCGTAATTAGTTCTGTCAAATCAAGTTTTAGTAGCTTTTCCCTTTTATAAAATTCCTAGTTTATAAAATTTGTATAAATAAGAGAAGTTCGATTTAGGACTATCCAAGTGACAGTATTAGTGAATATAAACAAATTTTGTGTTTTTTTTATATTGATCACTCGGGACATTTATTCACTGTAGTCTAATTAATTTTATTAATAATACATACTTGCGTTTCAGAGACACTAAGAAAATATCCACCAGCGCCTATCATACCGAGAAAATGCACTAAATCTTACAAAGTTCCAGACGGAAGCAATGTAATCATACCCAAAGGCACCGCGGTTCAAATTCCAGCCTGTGCCATTCACATGGATCCAGAATACTATCCTGAACCGGAAAGGTTTGATCCCGAGCGGTTTTCGGAGGAAAAAAAACATTCTAGACCTGTATGTAGTTGGCTCCCCTTTGGTGATGGACCCAGGCAATGTATAGGTAACGAAACAAAATATCAACGCCAACAATGGGATTCGTGTTTAACGATTACCATGAAATCAATACAAATTTTAGGACTAAGATTTGGTGTACTGCAAACGAAGGTTGGTTTGGCAACGATCCTGAAGGATTTTAAGCTGAAGATCAACGACAAAACCATTACGCCAATAGAAATCGACTCCAAATCACTTGTGACGTCCGCTAAGGGCAGTATTTGGCTCAATGTACGAAGCGTTTAGGTTGTAGTTTACTTGTATTTATTTTTAGGTGAAATTAAAACGCGATTACTTAAAGCAAAAATGAGATTCAAAAATTTCATGAAGTATGAAGTTTTCTCAAAGAAATCTCTTATTGTGAGCACGACGAATTTAAACAGAAAAATTGGTAAATCGAACATTGATTCTCTTGATTTTAGGGAGTGTACTAAAACCATACGAGAACATTCATTGTGTTTTGTCTCATATATTTTAATTTCATAAAAAATATTAAATAAGGTATTTATTAATATAATGTTTACATTCGTTTTGATTTTCTTTTAATTATATTAACTGACCATTTCCATTAAATATTGCTATTTTGTATATTATCAAATATAGATGATAATACATGAATTTTCAAAGGACCATAAAAAAAAGGTTGAGCAGAGTCATTAAATATACACCTGCGAGGCCATTTCAAATCGTGTTTTCAACCAATAAAACTTCGGATATTTCCAGGATATTGCTCACGTGTTTGGAAGCGGTCGGATGCTTTCGAAGATATTAGCGACTGCTGGAATTTTGACGTTTTTACCCAAAAACTAAAAGTATAAAAGTATAGTATACAATACGTTGATAAACTTGTTGCATAATATACAATGTTTTACACTTTCTATTATAAAATTCCCAATTGTGGTCTACTCAAATGGGCGGAAAGTGTCATTTTAAGACTGCAAATTACTTAATCCACGGTCAAGAGCCCTTTCGGCCATTTTCGGTACATTAGTCAAGGGGTTAGAAGCGAACCAGAACTAATCCAAGATTAATAATCGTAAAAAGAACTATATTATGCAATAATTTGATAAATTTTCTACTCGTTGCACGCTCGCTGCAAATCAAACTCGTGACTAATGGCGTTTATCAAACTTGTTGTATAATATACTGTCTCAGCACTCATAAACAAAATTAAGGAATGCTCAAATATTTGGCTTTGAAAGCCTTAAATTTTCTTCAAAATTTCATCAGGATTCCTCCGCTGGATAGAACACAAAAAATATACAAAAAAAAGTACATTGTTTCAGGATCCCACCTTGTATGAATTATGTACGGATGCCAAAATTTATATATTATTAATTGTTAATCTTTTATTAGGGACAAAATCCATAATTATTAATGTTATTTCTTTTCTTTTTACAGTATTCCAGGAGAAAAAACATAAATAATTATGGATTTTGTCCTTAATAAATAAATAACAACTCTTAGATTCGATTACTAATTTCAACCATGTAAGCATACAGAGTAAATATAGATAAAATTGATGAATCAATTAAAGATAATAAATTTAAAAAGTTGAAATTAATAGTTGCTCTTGAAATCCATTCTACAATGGATTTCATTTCTAGTTATTTCAGTTTTAATAAATGTATTTAATCTGCTTCTAAATAATGAAATTGTTCTACTATTAAGCAATCCCATTATTTTATTTGTGAAACTGTTGCAGAGAAATAAAAAAAACACATTTGTCCTATTGTTTTAGATACCTAGATTTGGCAGTGCCTTGGTTCGTTTTGTGTCTGGTTGAGTGACGATGTTCATAATTTCTAATGGAATTTTATTGAAAAAGATTTGGACTGCTATTTTTTGGAAATAGAGTTGTCGTGCATCCAGCATACCAGATTCATAAACAAAATTTATAAATAATTTCTGCGGAGTGTTCATTCCCCCCAAATATTTGTTTGTCAACCCACCTCATGCGAAAATTGCATAATTTAAATGATATTGAGTGAGCCCATAGTACAAGGTTTTAAGCTGGTCTAACTCTAAATTTTTTGTAAAAAATCTGAAAATTGTTATAAGTGATCTAAGTTTATTTGTGATATATTAGAAGTAGTGGTCCGATCTCAAATGACTATCAACAATTACTATAATATACTTAAATTAATTACAAAATTTTATGTCGAGTTAACTAGAAATTTAAGGCTATCATATAATGGTAATTTATTGCTATAACAACTAAAAAACTATCAACAATTAATCCAACATACTTAAATTAATTACAAGATTTTATGTCTAGTTAACTTGAAATTTAAGGGTATCATATAATGGTAATTTATTGTTATAACAACTAAAAGAAATAAAAACAGTTTTTGAGAAGTTTATGCTAAGTTTGTTGGTGTTAAAACATTTTATGTATTCTATAAAACATTTTTGTATTTGACCTTTTCAATAGTAAAAACCTGCGTTGTCTACAAATGCAGTACCGCTTGCTCCACGTAAAAGGATTACTATTGTAAATAATAAAAAAGAGTGGTTCAAGGACAGTTCCTTGATTTTAATGCTTTTGCAAGATCAACGAGGAAGCATATGAATGCGACACTTTTGTCTAATGAATCGTAATACTTTGAAGTAAAGTTCGTTAATGCGCCCTCGGTCGATCTTGCCTGCTTGTTTAAAAATCCTAAATTACTAATAACTGAATTTGGTTTGATTTTCCACCTGTTTTAAACAAGGGGTTAACTTTTCCTTAAGTTTAAAAAACCGCGTGATTGGCGCCAGCGCCTTCATGCGGCAACCTCCCGACTTAAGACGAATAATTTAGTCGCATTTGTACAAGTGTGCAAGTAAAACGTTTAAATTGAAAAGCAATTGATTTTTGTCGAAAGACTCCACCAATTGCGTTCCCGTACGCACATTTTTTGGTTCTCTCGTCAGATAATTTATTCGGTTCGTTCGTCGATTGCGTCGATAGTGTTTGCAAGTGCGCCTCAAAATTGGCCCTGTGGAAAGTAGACGGCTTTCCAATCCCTCTAGAAAGCATACGGCTCTCAAAAACCCCGGAAACAAAGCTAATAATAAGCTAAATAAATATATAATAAATAAATAAATAAACAAAATAAATAAATAAGATAATAATAATAATAAATAAAATAAATAAGAAATAAGCTAAATAAAGCTTACAACACGAAATTGAAGAGGTAGACGAATTGCAGAAAACCAGATTTTTTGCTTTTTTTTTATGTAAGTACGCAATCTGCGGTTCAAGTAAGATTACCACATTTGGACATCCCCACTTTCTCAGGCAAATTTGAAGATTTTCCCGCATTCATTGATCTTTTTTAAGGGCTGATTGACAAAAACAATTCTCTTTCTGGCGTACAGAAATTCATGTATTTAAAATCATCATTAAAAATGAAGCTTTAAATTTAGTCAGCAATCTCTCAGTTACGAACGAATAATATCAAGTTGCATGGAACATGCTAACAAAAGGGTTCAACAGAAAATTGGTAATTATTAACGCCCGTTTATAAGGTTTATTAAACTTCTAAAAATAACAGTGTTACTTCAAGAAAATTTATCACTCAAATCAATAAACATACAAAAGCATTACAAGCTTTAAGTGTACAGACATCAAATTGGGATTTACTTTTAATTTTCATATACTCCAAACATTTGGATTTTAGCACGCGACAGCTATTTGAACTCGAAAGAGATTCGAAACACCTTCCCACATTAATGAATTTTTAGAAAGACAGTGACCATCCTTAGAAACTTCAACAGATTATACAAATTCAGACAACAAATCGAAACTGCAAAGATTCGCACATGTTTCAAGTGAAAATTTTCAAAATACCAGTTTCAACATCGAACGTTTTTATTGCAAAACGAAAAATCATACTAATTATTTACAAATGCATGAAGTTCATTAAACGAACTCCAGCTCAAAGAAAATAATTCGTGATGCAAAACAAGCTGTGTTTAAATTACCTGGGCAACAAACATGTTGCTTCAAACTGTACATCGACTCGATGTTGTCAGTTTGCGCAGAAGAACATTACACTTTGCTACATGACCCTGAAGCCAAGATGCTGTCAGCTTCTCCCTCAATCAATGAGCAACTCGGCCCAAATTTTCAAGTAAGTCAAGAACCTAATCCTAAAACGAACATGCAACTCTCGCTTCGACAAACACTTCAAATGAAATTCCGTCTCCAAATAACATTTCTTGCTTGTCTATAAACAACACTCAAGTTCTTTTAGCAATTTCTAAAGTCATCCTTCTGTTCAAAACTGGATGCAAAACTCAAGCTCGTGTTCTTTTAGATTCAGCATCTCAAACCACATTCATAACGAATGAAGCATTCAAAAAAATATGCACAATATGTTTTGAATTTGACATGTCTGTCGCTGGAATAGGAAACAAAACAAGTCAAGATGTCAAGTTGCTAAAGAAGTAAACTTAAAAATTTGCGCTTCAAAGGAAAATTTTTCTATTTTAGCAACTTGTGCTATTTTAGACAAAATGACATCAGTTCTTCCTCACGTCCATGTTGATTTAAATCAAACAACATACCACCATCAATTTTACTGCCATTCTCAAATAGACATTCTATACTATGATTTAAAATGTATCGAACTGCAAACTGTTACTTATGGCACCAAACCAGCTACCAAATGCTGAAGGGAACTCACATATTTTCCCACTTGCATGTAAGACCATTCAGTATCAGTGCTACGTAGATGAAATTTTGTCTGGCTGTGATTACAAAACTGAATTCCTTCAGCTTCGCTCTGAGCTTATATAATAGCTGCAACTTCACGACCAGACCGCAAATGAATTGCAAAATATTATCATAAAGGATGCGACAAGCAAATTTCTTGGCTTGTCATGGAACTTAAATATCCCTGGTCCTTTAAAATTATTACCAATAACAAAAAACAATTATTATCTCAGTTGGCTCAAATTTTTGATCTTCTCGGCTTTATTAGCCCAGCAGTTATCACCGAAAAAATACTTATGAAGAAAATTTGGTTGAAAAGGCTAAATTGGGACGATGAGCTATACCCTGATTTAAAAATTGCTTGGGAATCATTCATCAAATTCCTAGATGGTTTCATAATTTAACAGAATATACAAAGGTAGAAATTCATGGATTTTCAGACACCTCTCTTGCTGTTTACGGTGTAGTATTGTATTTACGTACGATCTACCACAACCAAACTGTCTTTTCGAACATTATTTGTTCCAAGTCCAACTCTTTGCCCCGGTTAGAACTCTGTCCTGCCTTATTATTAGCCAAACTTGGCAACATAGTCAAGTCAATACTACAAAGGTTTTAATGTGATTCTTTGAACAGACTCACAGATCGTACTCTTCTGGCTGAACGATTTGCCATCTTGATGGACAATATTTGTTGAAAACAGACTCTCCGAAATCCCGGATTTATTTCCCGCCTCACATTGGCAGTACGTAGATTCCAAAAATAATCCAGCAGACTATAGATTCAGATATAAAATAAGAACTGTCTCTTGAATCTTAAGGATAGATGCTTTGCCGGAAAAAAGATATGTGTCACATGTGACACATTTCCACTATTTACAGACATCTTCTCTAGTTTTTCAAATTCCTCAGAATTTCTTTTTGGAAACAATGTTCCAAGATTAGACATTTATTATGGAAAAGATTTTGTCGCTTTACTGGTTATTAGCAAGAATACTAAAAGTAATGCCTGGTACTGATAATAAGGTCAGAGTAGCGCACCTTTGGCTCTAGACTAGGTTGAGGACTACGCTTCACCGGGGGGAATTAAGACGAATAATTTGTTGGCGTTTGAACAAGTGTGCAAATAAAACGCTTCAATTGAAAGGCGGTTGATTCTACCAATTGTGATTCCGCAACAAATATAGCTTCTTCAAATGATGCTGGAAAATGTCCATGATTGGTTCCTTAAGTGAGTCAGAGGTTCTTTGAACTATTCTGAAATTTATTTTAAAATTTCTCATGTTAGACCATTTAGTCCTGGCGTTTTTCTTGGTTTGAGTGAGTTTATTGCTTTTAGTACTTCAGTTGTAAAAATGTAAGATTACTTTAAAAATGTAGGATGTAAACAACAGTTCTTCAAATTCAAAATGCAAAAATTCAAAAAATTCAAAAAATAGGTTCGTTTTTTATGTTTTAATGTTTGTACCAAAGTTTTTACAGATACAGGAACAAATATTACAAAAGTGGTCTTTAAAATAGTTTGACATTTCTTGATTGTCTTAAATTTTATTATTATGGTTTTTTTAATTTATTTTATAGTACTCGTATTTAATTTATGATTTTTGTTTGTACCGGTTTTAAAGCAACTCCATACCTTGTGCAATTGATGCTTCTATTTAGTTTTTGTTTCTAATAGTCTATTTTAGTCTGTTTTAATGACTCGGGTAATTTATTTCGGTATAGTTTAAATTCCCGGCCCTCTTAACCTGTTTACGGGAAATGAGGGTAACGTTGATTGCCTACCGGGCGCGTCCCCGGGTGGAGAATAGGGGTAGACCGAGGGCGAGAGAGAGGGGGTGTGGGCCTTTTACCAGAGGGATACAGGCCCTTTCAGGTAATCCGGCCGGTGTAGAAACTGTACCAAGAGAACTAAGGCCCTGCCGCGGACCAACTCCCGAAGCTAAGGTGGGAGCTATCGTGATATTCTGGGCGGGCGGACCAACCTTTTACCTGCATACTCGTGGGACTCTTATAGATACAAAAAACAACCTCACGGAAGATGGGGCTCCAACAGGGGTCCCTGGATCCAAAATCGAGACATTTAGTGAAGAATGCTGCAGACAAGCTCAACCTCACAGTCAGGTCTCTCTGCAGGTAGGGCCCCTATGGACATTGCCGAAGGGCAAGAAGGCTTAGATGCCAATGGGCCTCCAAACTCCAAGACCAACCGCTAGAGCAGGAACAGTTGCTGCTCGGCTAAAAAGAAGGCTCATAAGGCGAAAGCCGAAGGGGAACTTCTTTCGCCGCCCAGCAACATTGGCACCCCAACGCAAACATCCCACATCATGGGTCTAATAACGGTGGTGGCGGCAAAGAGGGCAATGGCCTAATCCTAACAACCAGGAAAGGTCCAGAGACGAGACTGCCACCCCCCCAGAAGACCGCAAAGTCCTTAAAAATGACAAAAGATTCATCCACCCCGCAAACTTCAGCGAGGCTGTTACGGCTGATAGGAGGTTGGTTAGTTTTGGTTTGGACTTCTAAAAGCTCAGTAGGTG